TCCTCACTGCTGGCTGGGAACAATACCACTGTTCCCCAGGGATGGCAAACCAAAATCAGTGTATTTTAGTATTTCCGATGAGTTTTGAAAGAGTAGCCAAAATTGACAGGCTTCAGGCAGCTGTTTATAGAATCATGGAATAGTTTGGGTTGGAAGGGGCCTTAAAGATCATCTCGCTCCAACCTCTTGCCACGAGCAGGGACACCTTCCACTAGCCCAGGTTGCCCCAAGCCCCGTCCAACCTGGCCTTGGACACTTCCAGGGATCCAGGGGCAGGTACAGCTTCTCTGGGCACCTTGTGCCAGGGCCTCACCACCCTCACTGGGAGGAATTCCTTCCCAGTATCCCATCTAACCCTGCCCTCTGACAGTGGGAAGCCATTCCCCCTTGTCATGTCACAACAGGCCCTGCTAAAAGGGGGATGCCATGGGATGTTTCACTTCCACGTGCAGTTCCTCATTCCCTGCTGTCTCACTGTAGTTATCAGTGGGGACAGGTATCAGCCCCCCAGTGAGCCCCCCAGCTCCAGAGCTCACCTGGGACTCCCACCATCCAGGCTGTGCCACTGAGAGCAGGGAGTGTCGGGGCTGAGAGGGGTTAATGGGGGCAGGAGGAGGTAACTGGGCTGCTCCAGGAAGGGAATACTGTGTATGGGGAAGAGGAAAACCCATCTGGGATGTAGGAGAGACTTGGAGGTTGTTACTCTCATCAGGAGAAATCAGGAGAGCAGGACAGCAGGCGAGGTCTGACCTTCTGGCTCAGGCCTTCACAGGGAGTTGCTTGTAGGGCGGACTTCCTCTGGGAGGAAGGCAAAATGAGACGTGGAAACCATCCAAACCCTCTGCTGAGAAAGAGGGTGAGGCCAGACAGGACTGATTTGGGACTTTATTTGGGTGTGCTTGGAATTGCCTGGGCTGGGGAAGCACCGGGAGCCGGAGGACGCAGATAACCTGTGGGTGAATCACCCACCCACACCTGCAGAACGCACCTCGCTGGCTGCAGAGGCAGCAGCCTGTGCTGAACTGGGCTTTTTGGGGATGTAAATAGGAAATGAGCTCTGCAGCTGAGCCTCCGCAGGCACCGGGACATGAAGGGCTCTGCCTCTTCCCACACCACACTCTGCTCCGGAGGGCGGGAGGAGGCTCGGCCAGCACAGTCACTTCGTTAATAAGCAAATGTATGTGGCTCCATAGGGCTTGAATAACTTCGGGAAGCAAAGCAGTTTTGTGGGCTGAGTCCTTTGCCTGCTCTAAATGACTAAAACTAATTGGTTATATTTCACTGACAAAGTCACAGAGCCCACATGTTTCCGTAGAACACACCTGACTCCGGCTTGTAAGGAATGAGCCTGGATGCATCGGCTCTCCCTGGGGATGGAGCCCACTGACTGCTTTTCCAGGTGCCTGCACACCTTGCTGTGGCTGGGAAAAAGGCTTGGAAAGCCTGAAAGCTGCAGCCTCTGGCTGTGGGAAGGAGCCATGAGGAAAAGGGATTGTTCTGGGGCAGTGGCAGCTCCAGCCTGCGCTGGGCTGGGCTCTGGGGGTGACCGTGAGGGGCCCCGATGGCTCCAACAGCTCTGGAACCCACAGGGGGGGTTGGCCCAGGCCACCAGTGCAAGCCAAGGGACCCTTTTCCATGACGACGTATCATAAGGGGGTGATTCAGCAGCTTTCTAGAAATACGAGGTTCTAAAAGAAATAAAGCAGGAAGTTTTCCTTCTCTGTCTCATTCTACATGAAGAAATAAGGCAACTTGGGTTCTCCCTTTAGGCAACAGGGAAATTTGGCACCAAAAAGCCCCTCCCTCCTTCCCACATCTCTGCACCACATGTCTCCACTTCACTACTCACTTGTTTTGACATAAAGTACTTTCCCCCAAAAATATTAGTCACAGCTTTGGCTACAACCAGCCAACTCTTAACCTTCCTCAAAATGGTTTGAAATGGGTGACGTTGGTAACGTGTGATGGCAGAGGGGAGGGGTGGGTGGATTTAGCGTTTCTGGAAGGTTCTGCTTCGAGGTTTGGGAGCCCAAAAGCTGCCACCTGCTGTGGTAAGGGAATCCCAAAGGACCTGCCAGCAGATCCAAGGAGCTTTGGTGGGTCTCTTGAATAAGACACAGTGTGAGGATGGAAATCCAGGATCTGTGGGAATGGCATGGTGGGATGAGCAGGAGTTTTTCAATGGAAGGTGACGAGTACAGTGTGAAGTTTAGTAATCTGTGTTTATGACTTATGATTCCAGCTGCCTGGAATCCTGTTTTGGAGCAATAACTGCTTTATCGAGCAGTTCAGCATCAAGGGGAAGGAAAATCCCCGAGTGGCATGTTGGATCAGATAAGGGTTCCTGAGAATTCCTGGGAAGGAAGGAGCCAGGGATACTTGGGTTGGGCAGAGCTGCAAAATCGTGTTCCAGGTTTGCAGCAGCTGCACACAGGGAGCCTGCAGTCACTGTGGGATCCAGGATGAAATGAGCCCTGCCTTCCCTCATGCTTCCTCAAGTAATTATCACACACACTGCACCCTAATGAGAACCTGCTCTATTTTCTCATCCCTCCTCTCTGCGGCTCTTCCCTCATGGCTGCTCCTTCAGAGCTCTTCTTTAGGAACCCATCTGCTAAAGGGCTTGTATTTCATTTTTAACAGGAGAAATCATTGGACATGAGTAGTTTCTCTGTGTGTTATTATGCTTATAATCCTGTAATTGGTAATAAGGCTCTAATCACAGCCGTGCAGCGGGAGCAGCAGGGCCAGCCCGGAAAGGTGCCCCTCGGGGATTCCCAGGCACAGCAGCCAGAGCGTGCCCAGGTGGACCATGGATTCCATGGCTGGAAAGGCAGGGAGCGGATGGACCTTCCAGCATTCCCCGTGATGTGAAACCAGAGTCAAACACAGGTCACGGGTGAGAAACCCTGAAACAAAGACTGTGGGCAGTGGCAGACCCTGACTCCAGACCCTGTGCCAGGCCTGGGGGTGGTGAGGCCTGCAGCGTCTGTGTGCACTTGTGTGTGCACAGAAAGAGGAGGGGAAAAGGAAACCTTGGGAGAAATGTGTCTATAAATGACAATTTAGCTTCACAGCCCCTTCCCTCCCCAGAAAGTCAAGAAAAAGCAACAAGTTGCGAGGTCCCTTTGCTGAGGATACTTCCTGCTCAGGGGCCTTTTGCAAGGCTGTCTCTTGTGCAGGTGAGTTCCCAGGATGCAGAGGAAGGTGTGAGTTGTGAGTGAGGCCCTTCCAGCCATGAATCACAACCTGCTGCTCTCGAGGCTGCTGCTCAGCCCATTCCCACAACAGAGTTCTCCCACTTCCAACACTGTAAAGAGGGAAATCAGTGCAAATATGCAGCTTGTTGAGTGTATCATGTGGTGTTGAGCCACACCTTTATAAAAAAAACAACAGGGAGTTCCAGATTATTAGATTGGAAAGATGAGAGGAGCTAATTGGGTTCTGCAGAGCCAGGCTGTCCGGGCAGGAAGTCTGTCCATGCCGGGGGTGGTGGCTGGTCAGGCAACTGGTCATTCCCACCCTCTGCATCCTGGGAAAGGCCCTCCCATCGTGCCACCCTTCCAGATTGCAAGGTGGTGGCAAGAGGTACCTTACCCTCAGCAGAGCTAAGCCCTGAGTAAACCCCTGGTAAGCACTGTGGAAAGGAGATTGGAGCAGGTCTGTCTTAGGTTAGAAATGGATTATATTCCAAATAACCCTGTAAACTCAGTCCCAGGATAGGAGAGGTGCATGGCAGAGGTTCCCTGGGGCCGAAATGTCAGCCCTGATGGGCAAACTGGAATCAGGGATGTCTTTACTCAGCACAGCTGGCTCAGAGATCCAGGGAAAGCCCTGAGCCTTGAGAACCAAGGGACTAGAAATGCAGAACAGGGCAAGATGAAAATGAGACAAAGTCATCACTTCCCAAAACCTTCACAGTGAAGGAAACACCTCCCACTGTCTGGAGGATCCATGGGAATATTACAATATTTGTTCCAAAAACATGACTGGGTGGATACAGACTCACTGACGCAGACACAAGCAGCTAATTGAATTCATACGTAGGAACCCTGGACACCATCTGGCCTCAATAAAACGTGGGTCCGGAGCTGTTCCTTAGCAGATGGTTATTCCTTTTCATAATCTGAAATCAAAAGATCATTTTTCTATCTGGAGATCAAAGGCACTTAATGTCTCCTTGGTCGAGGTTTATGAAGCGAAACCTCTGTCCTCTGTTTTGGTGTTCTGTGAGAGGCAGATGGGGGTTTTCCCCTGAAACCTCTGCACAGGCTCCAGGCAACCACATCTGGGCAGCAGCTGCAGATGTTCACAGCTTTCCAGGGCTGGGACTTTATTTCCATCCCACGGACATGCAGTTTATAAAATGAGAAGGGACAGTTGTAATGAGCTTGTGTGGCCGTTTCGATTTCCCCAGATGATTGAGATATAGCCCACATGGATATTTTGGGATGAAATTATTCCTTTTCCCTTAGAAGAAGTGCTCAGAGCCCCGTCTGACCTGTCAGACCCCACACTCAGCCCTGCAGAGCAGCTGTGTGAGGCCAACAGGGTGCCTACTCTGGTGGGATTCTTGGGGTGTCCTCCTGTGCAGGGCCAGGAGCTGGACTGGATGATACTTGTGGGTCCCTTCCAACTCAGGCTATTCTATAGTTTCATGATCCCCATGGGAGACAAGTCTGTGGAGGCAAGTTTGGAGAGAAGGAGGCTCAGGGGGGACCTTCTCATTCTCAGTAACTCCCTGACAGGAGGGTGGAGCCAGGGGGGCGTCCGCCTGTTTTCCCAGGAACTAGTGACAGGATGAGAGGACGTGGCCTCAAGCTGTGCCAGGGGAGGGTCAGGCTGGACATCAGGAGGAATTTCTTCCTGGAAAGGGTGGTCAGGCACTGGAAGGGGCTGCCCAGGGAGGTGGTGGAGTCCCCATCTCTGGAGGTGCCAAAGGAAGGACTGGATGTGGCAGTCAGTGCTCTGGGCTGGGGCACAAGGTGGAGACCGGGCACAAGGTGGAGACCGGGCACAGGGTGATCTTAATGATCTTGAAGGTCTTTTCCAGGCTCGGTGATTGTGGGATCTGTGAGCCTCGGGCTCTCCCGGCTGGTGAGAGCGGGTGGGCGAGCACTCTCTCCAGCGACGTCAGCGCCGCTCCGCCGGCAGCCAGCGCTGGGGAGGGGGCGAGAGGCGCTTCTCGGGAAAGTACTTCCACACCCACCACGAACCCTCTGGGATAGACGTGATCTTTGCCACCTAAGAACGAAAGGTGTGTGGTTACTCGGAGCAGGTTGGAACAAATTGAGTCCTGCTCACAACCCTCATTTTTCCAGCGGGTACCTGCTGGCTCCTGGCCGTTCTCATCGGCGGGAGGGTGTAACCGAGAGGCACCCCGTGTCCCGCCGGCCCACACTGCCGGGGAGCTCTTTGCATTTCAAACAGCGGTGCACGAGGGGAATATTTGTGCCGGGATGAGCTCCGAGATGAGCCGGAGCGTTCCCTGCCCCTGCGCGGGTTCTCCTCCCGCCTCCTGCAATATGGAAATGATCCTCCCGGCAGACAGCTGAGTCCCACCTCGGTTCCCATTCACCTGGAGATGAAAGTGCTCTGGCTGCCAGTGTAGGCGGGGCAAAACTATTTAAAAACCTCATTAGAGAAAGTATTTGGGGAAGACAGCAACACCCTCAGTTGTGGTTTGCTCCAGGACTTCTCAGCCAGATCCCTGCTGATACAGAGGGAAGGGCACTATGAGAGACATTCCTGTCAACTACTACTGCTTGTAGGGATGCCTTGGGTGTCCTTTGCCTTTCTCTCTGTCCTAGTGGGCTGTATTTTCTCCCCAAATACGGGCATGTTCCACCCGAGGTGCAGTTTAGGTGGCTCTGTGTGTCACGGAGGGATCCTGGAGGGATCCAGGAGGGGTCCGGCTCCCTGCCAGAGGAGCACAGTCAGCAGAGCTGTGTGTAATCTTGATTAGGCACAAATCCACCGTGAATATTTCCTATTCCATTTAATTCCTGTTTGTGCTTATTTCAGCTGAATTTGCAGCAGCAGTAATGCCCAAGCCACATCTGGCTCGTGATGCACATGGGATCAGACCGGGACTTTGGGAGGAGGAGGATCTGGATTCAGAGGTTTGGCTTCTTATTTAGAAAATGACGGGTTGCATTCTCCCACGGCTGCTCCAGACTGCCCCAGAGCTGAATGATATTCCTGTCCAAGGGTTTTTTAAGTCTGCCTGACTAGGAAACAATGTGTATGATTTGTCTGGCCTGGTGCGAATGAGCTTGTGCACCTGCACTTCCCCTTCTGACTTCATTTTCTTTGCATCTCATTTATTGGAAGGGGCCAAATGTTCATTAAGTCCTGATGAGTTGGAGTGCCAATGATCCCTTTTCCTCTCCCACCCAGACGTCCACCTGCCTTAAGCAGACCCTGGTTAACGCAGACAACTGCAGCCCCTGGCCAGCCATGGGGCATCCTACACACTTGCAAGCAGGTACTTGATCCCATAGGATCACAGAAACACCAGGCTGGGATGAGCAAGTCCACGTGCAGCACTCAGGCTTGTTCTCTCTTATCTCCAGCCACAGGAGTCAGTGGCATCCTGGCAGAAGTCCAGCTGGGCTCCCCATGTGCCCCCTCCCAAAACCACACAGAACCACAGAATCATCAAGGCTGGAAGAGACCTTCAAGATCATCCAGTCCAACCATCAACTCAGAACCACCATAGCCAGCCCTAAACCATGTCCCCAAGTGCCACATCCAGATGCCTCTTGACCACCTCCAGAGGTGGTCACTCCACCACCTCCCTGGGCAGTGCTTCAGCTGCTGCCAGGCTCTGTCCCCACGTGGACCTGCCCCATTCTCCACCTCTGCCCGTGCCCTGGTGAGCAGCTCAAGCTCTGCCACTGTGCCGATGGCATTTACAGCTGGAACCAAAGCCCCCCAGCCCAATCCTTGGGCACCTCACACCCTGTGAGCACACAGGTCACACAGACCTTGTCCCAAAGCCTTGGGGTTCAGAGGTCAAGGCGAGAGGACTCATCCATGTCCTGACATGAACTGCAGGAAGAATACACTCTCAGGCTCTTCTCCTTTATTTTATTATTATTATTTTTAGGGGTGTGTGTTAATTTTTTTAACCCAGTTAGCAAGTTCAGAGTATTTTCTATGTTAATATTTGACTCAGAGGTGATGCAGTTTGGCCCCGTGGCTGTTGTTACCTGCATCCCCCAGAAAGATCAACATCTCCCCAGACTCTGAGCCCCGGTGGTGCTGATTCCTGCCGGGGTACGTGGGTGCCAGTGCAGAATAAATACCATGGTATTTTCCACGGGGCAGATCTGAAAGCACCCTGCTTTCCTTGCTTTGCATACTCAGAGCATCATCCTCTCTGCTTTCCAGATATGAAAGGCGAAGCAGAGACATCTGATGGGGCTCCAGCGCTGACTCACTGTTTGATGTGAGGCAGGAGGAGAGATGTGATCAGATCCCTCTGTGCAGAGCAGCCACCAGACAACGCGTCACCGGGCAAAGAGACTCCTGCTCCTCCCAGCCCCTCAAACAGTGGATCAGCCCTCACCATCCCCTTCTCCTCCTGAGCTCTGCAGAGACCACCCAGCCAGCGCAGCACCCGGATGTCACCTCTGAAATGGCTCTTAGGTTGTGGACTCCCCATCCCTGGCAGTGTCCAAGGCCAGGTTGGACGGGGCTTGGAGCAACCTGGGCTGGTGGAAGGTGTCCCTGCCCATGGCAGGGGGTTGGAGCTGGATAACCTTTCAGATCCCTTCCAGCCCCCCATTCCCTGTTCCCTGTCCAGGCAGACGGAGGCTGGGCCGTGCTCGGTGCGGGCGCAGCCCCGGGGTGTGCCGGGTGTGCTCGCCCGGGGTTCTTTCTCACGAGATGGTGCAACCAGCCAGCAGGGAACTGGTTAAACAGCGTGAGCTCCCCGCTGCCCGGGCTTGGCAGGGCAGGATGTCACCAGGAAGCCGGCATGTTTTATTAAACACAGTATCAAAGTGGGCTAAAGTCTCTTATTAATGTCCACAAATTTTGCCACTTCCAAATAGTTTCCACCTACATATTCCTCCCACTGCTGCACTGGGTGCTGGCAAACATCTCTTCTCAAAGAGGGGAATGGCTTTCATTTGAATAGTCCTCAGGCGAGTTTCGCTGAGCGATGCCAGCGTCATTCCCGCAGCTCTCACGTGCCCGGCAGTGCTCCAGGGTCGTGCCGGAGGGAGGGCACAGAGACAACAGCTCTCGCTGGGTTTTCCCAGTGCTTTATCCAAGCAGAGCCCGTGGTAGCCTAAACCAATGTAATTAAGCAGCGATGGGTGCAGATATTTGCAATATTAAATCTCTCCTCCCGACTCGCGGGTGATCCTGCAGCGAGCGCGGTCAGCTGTGCTATCGACAGTGAGTCACAGGCACAGCTGAAACCACCAGGCTTCACACTGAACTCAGACTTCTGCAGCTACCAGAGCCCTGCTGGGCGTCAAGCTGCTCCTCAGACTCTGCACGGTGAGGTCCCACATGTCCCTCGGGACCCAGCCTTCGGCTGAGGGGGGCGGGACACCCTGAGCCTGCCTTGGACACTACGGGAAATGGGACGAGCAGGTCTCCTGGGAGCTCCTGGCTGGATACATCCCACACCGACCCACACACTGCAGGACCACAGACCCCATGGTGGGGGGTGTTTGACAGAGGCACTGTCTCCCCTGGCTGACAGCACCCACTGCCTCCCACCCATCCCAGAGCTGGGTGCTGCAGCTGGAGAGCTGCCGGGCTCGGAAGAAGAGCCGTCACGTTTACTGAGCTCAGGAGAGCACCCTGCTCCCCCGCTCCTTGAAAGACTCCCACTGCAGAGAGCAGTGGGTGTCAGGATGGAGGGCTGAGCGCATCCTGCCCGGCACAGCGTCCAGCCCGGCCGGGCCGTGGCTGTTCTTTCACCTCCGGTGCCAGTAACCCGAAACGGGATTGCTGGAAATGAGAGAGAGGGAGAGTCAGCGATTTGATTACAGGCCACAGGCACATGCCTGGCCTTCATGGATATATTAAGTAAGAGACATTTTAAAACAAAACCACCCTCAGTAACCTTATCGTAAGCTCGAATCCACAACCCATCTGTTAACTCCCAGCGCTGCCCACATAGGCTGCGATCAGACGGCGGTGCCAGGGATTTTCGGAACGTTTTCCCCAAATCGCTGTGGTCAGAAGGGGACAGTCCCAGGGAAGGGGCAGATCCTGGGGCTCGGATCTCCAGCCCACCCTCAAAGCAGCCCCCAGCCCCTCGTATTCTCCTGCCTCTGTAAATAACTGCAAATCCCCTTGGCCACGCGCTGCCGCTGTCCTGTGACTCCCGGCCCTTCTGGAGGAGTGCTCGGGAGACCCGCTGCACCAATGCCTTCAGGAAATTCAGCCTTTCTAAACATTTTGCTACTGCCTGAATCGTACGTTGTAAAGGAACCCTCCACACAGAAATAATTCAGCAAACACAAGCGAGAAGGCAAATTGATGATTGCATCAGCCCTTGCTTCTGAAAACTGATCCCCAGGAAAATGTAACTCAACTCTCGAGCAATCTAACTTGATGCACAAGAATGTAATAACTTCATTTGGATCCTCCTTTTAGGGGGACTCCTAAATCCTTGGCAACGTCCCTTAAGGTCATGAGTAAATCCTGATATGGAGAATTGTTTGGCAAGCACGAGAACAGTAAAAGGGCTAAATAATTGGGGATTACCTCTGACCCTGATCTGTGGCTCACCACCCACTGCAGGAATGTACCGAATATCTCAAAGAGCATGCAGGAGTCAGACAATCCACGGGCATGAAGCTGTCCACGTACTCTCAGAGCCCGAACTTCAGATGAAGAGCAGGTTGGCCCCAAACCTCATTTTTCATTAGCAATCAGCTTCAGCAAGCTCTAATTATTTCTGTTGCCTTGGACAGAGGGTCAGTGATGGGACAGATGAAAAATTGTTCGTGTTTTTTTCACCCTTTGTTTGGAAAATAACAGCTTAGGTCTTCAGGGCAGAGAGAGAACGAACTGTCTGATCCAGGGCTCGTTACTGAGGCTGGTTATGGTCCCCTGAGCTGCATCAGGGACAAACACAGCACTCCCATGTTTCTGATGTTTACTGCTGAATTTTTCAGTGCCTGAAGGAAAGACGAGCTCTGCTGTGAGAGGCTCACAGCCCAGAGCTGTGATCCTTTGGTACTCAGTGCTCCATTTTCAGTCCCCACGTCCCCTCCTCTGTGGTGGGGCTGCAGCACCACAGCGACTCTCAAGATCGGTGAGCAGGTCCTGCCCATAGCAGGGGGTTGGAACTAGATGGTCTTTGAGGTCCCTTCCAACACAAACAGTCTGTGATTCCATAATCCTGGCCATAATCACCAGGTTTGCAGGCTCAGCTGCCAAACACCGAGAAGACCACACTGAGTGGGACAACCCAAGCATCTGCTTTCACTGGTACAGTGCTGTGCTGTTAATGCCTGCATAAAATCTTTGTGCTCTCACATAGTACCTGCTGCCCTCGGATTCCTCCCGAGGTGGAGCAGGCCAGGACTCTCCAGGCGATAGCAGTGGCTCTGGGCTGGAGTTCTGCTATTTCCTTATCTGGGTAAGTGCACCCTTTATCAGATGAGCCTGCCTCTACTTGCTCAGCATTCAGCAGGGAAGTGACCACGGCCCTTCAGGAGAGCTTTGCCTTGGCAGGTACTCACACACCATTATCATCACTCAGGGTTTTGCAACAGTGTCCACCGGCTGCAGATCCTTGGTGCAAGCATGGGAAATCATGGAATGGGTTGGGTTGGAAGGAACCTTAAAGCCCATCCAGTGCCACCCCCTGCCACGGGCAGGGACACCTTCCACTAGCCCAGGTTGCTCCAAACCCCGTCCAACCTGGCCTTGGACACTTCCAGGGATCCAGGGGCAGGCACAGCTTCTCTGGGCAGCCTGTGCCAGGGCCTCCCCACCCTCACAGGGAAGGATTTCCTCCTGAAAATTCCTCATAGAATCACAGAATGGTTTGGGCTAGAAAGGACCTTAAAGCCCATCTCATTCCACTCCTGTGCCACAGGCAGGGACACCTTCCACTAGAACAAGTTGCTCCAAGCTCTGTCCAACCTGGCCCTGAACACTTCAGTGATGGGATCCCACCAGCCCTAAACTTCCCCGCAGCACCGACACTTCCCCAGAGCCACATTTTAGTGACTCTCAGTTATTTTTTTTCCCACACTTCCAAACTTCCGCAGCCGCCGGTTTCCCCGGGTCCGTGTTTGCGCCTCTGTCGCTTTGGGGGGTGATTTATTTTATCCCGATCTCAGCGCACACGGTGGGAGCACCGCACCGCGGCCCTGCCGCCCTGCGGGGAGCGGGGACGCCGGGACAGCGGGAGCGGCGGGGACAGCGGGAGCGGCGGGGACCAAGCGGCAAGCGGGAGCGGCGGTGCGTCCGGGACAGCGGACGGGAGCGGCGGTGCGCCGGACACGGGACAGGAGCGGCGGGGACAGCGGGACGGGAAGCGGAGGGGACAGCGGGACAGCGGGACGGGAGCGGCGGGTGCCGCCGCGCCGGACACACGTGCGGGCGGGGGGCCGGTCGGGCGCCCGCACTCCCCCGCGCCGCCGCACGTTGAGGCTCATGTGACGGCGGCCGGGGCGCCGGGGCCGCCAGACGTGCGCGGTCACAGGGCTCCGCACGTCGCTCCCGTCCCACCACATCCCGCATTTAACCCGGCCCGCGGCGCCCCGCCGCTCCTCAGCCCGCACGCGGCGCGGGCGCGGCATGAGCACAGCAGCAAGCAGCAGCAGCAAGCAGCAAGCAGCAGCAGGAGCAGGAGCAGCAGCAGCGTGCCGGCATCGCCCGCAGCCACTGAGCGCGCCCCGCACCGCTCCCGCGCCCCCGCCATGGAAGCGCAATCCCCAGCGCCGCAGCCCCCGCCCGCCTGCCTTGGGCAAACTGCCGCCTGGAACGGCGCGACCCTGCCGGGGTAAGCGGGTGTTTCCGGGGGTCCGGGGGGTCCGGCCGGGCGGGGGGAGCGGCTCCGGGCAGGGGGTAACGCGCTGCTCTGCTTTCCCCCGTGCAGGCTGGACTTCGCGCACATGTACCAGGTGTACAAGCCCCGGAGGGGGCTGAAGAGGAGCGAGGACAACAAGGTGAGTTGAGGGCGGACGGGTAAATTGGGGGATGATAAGGTAAAATTGTGGGTTAGCGGGATAAATCGGGGAGTGCGCGCCCCGGCAGTGGCAGTGACAGCGCTCCCGGGGCGGGGGCTCTGCCTCTCCCCGGGACACACGGGGCGGGAGGAGCAGCGGAAAAATGGGAATCGGCCGCTCCCGGGGCAAACACGGGGCGGGAGGAGCAGCGGGAGCGGGGCCGTGCGGGCTCTCCCCCCGCTGACCCGCTGCCCCCGGCCCCGCAGGAGACCTACAAGCTGCCGCACCGGCTGATCGAGAAGAAGAGGCGCGACAGGATCAACGAGTGGCATCGCGCAAGCTGAAGGACTGCCTGCCCGACGCACCTCAAAAGCTCAACGGTAGGTGCGAGCGGCGGGCGGAAGCGCCGGGGCCGGGGGATGGACGGGGCTCTGCTGCCGTTTCGCCGCGGATTTGGGGTGGGTTGTGTTTTCGCTCCGTGGTGCTGCACACCCGGACGGGCTGTAAGCGATCCCAAACTTTCTCGGGAGGGATGTGGCTCTATGAGTGTGGGTCCCTGCG